CGCGGCTCGGAGATGTCTGAATTTCGCAATAAAAATAGGCCTTCAAATTCTCAGAAAACCGGTTAAATAAAGGCTACCCTCGGTAAAATAATCAAAGGGATTTGATAAAATCAGCCCCTGAAAAATCTTACGAGGTAACGAATTATTCAAACATAAACTTGTGCTAAGGCACTAAAAATAGAGGGTTCCGATCGACACCCAACGATCAAAAAACCCAATGGGTATAAAATGCATGCCAAGGCATAAATAAATTTTTACCAAGTCTTCTAAGCCGAAAAAGGAAAATAATAGCCATCTCTTAGAGGCCATAATGGCCTGATCTAAAAGAGCCTAAGGATCGATACACTTAGGGTTCGAGACCTTGTTCTCACCCGATCAGAACCTAAGGGTTCGATTATCCCAAGCCTAAATAAATAATAGCTTGATTATGGCTTGGGGACTCACCATTATCCGGCACGAGCCCGTAAAGGTCTATGTCCCAAATCCCGAACCTTATTCGAACTCGACCAAGGTGATTACAAAGAAACCGTCTGAGATAAAATCTCGATCACACCATCCAAAGAATGAAATTATTACAAGAATTTTGTAAGACAGGAAATATCGAGAAAACATTCAAGGAATTTCTTCTTTTATATACTTGGAAAAAGGTATATACAAGAGACCGATGAAAGGTCTTACAAAAAGAACAATACAAAAAGAGAGAAGAAAATCCTATCTATGCCCAGGGCTGGTCTCTCCCTCGGGAGCAGCTTCTTCTTCGGGCCCGGCTTTATTATCGGGCCCGCTTTGGCTACCTTCGGTATCATCATCATCGTCGGAGGAGGCGATGAACTTGGCATCAGCTTCGAGCGCTTTTGCTTGGGCTATCTCCTCGGTGAGGTCGAAACCTCGAGCATGGATCTCTTCGAGGATCTCCCTCCGGAATTGACACTTGGCCAAATCGCTGATCTATTTCTCCCAGTTGGAAAGGTGCCTCAGGGCCTCGAGCTCATCAATCTTCTTGGCCTGGGCCAGGTTTTTCACTTCACCCCGAAGTTGGGTCTCAGCTGAGGCTAGTTTGGCTAGAGTAGCCTCTTTCTCAACAACAAGTCGGTCATATTTTCCTTCCACTGGTTGTAGTCGGCCTTAACTTGATCGACCTCCCTTCGAAGCTGCCCAATCATCTCCAATTTTTGCTGCAGCTGAAACACTAAAGTGTTAGCCTCCACAGTTGGGTCAGGTAGCCCATACTCTTACAAAGTGATGGTTACCTGCTTGTCTAACTCGGCCTCATTTTGACGAGCTTTGGCCAAGTTAGCCCGAAGGTCCTAGAGCTCCTCCTCCTTTTTTGAGTCTATATCCACGTGAATGAGTTTCCTCTTTTGCCTCCGAGTATGGGCCCTCTTCTCTTGGGGGTCTTCAGGTTTCGAAGCCCTTTTTCTCTTGTTATCTTTCCCCGATTTTGGAATCAGGGACTCAGTCTCTTCCCCGGGCGGGGCCGGTCTCATTTCAGAGACATCTCCAATGCCTGTATGAATAAGAATTAGGCATAAGTAAGAAGTCTTCTCCGATAAAAGGAAAAGCAACAAAGACTTGGAAATGAGCTAACTGTGGTGTTTGGCCTCCCATTTGCCTCTCGACAAGTCACGCCTTTTGCGCTCATCATACAAAGAGGTCGCAGTTAATCTCTGGACCCAGTCTTCGAGGTCGGGGATCGCATGGGGTATCCAAGCAACCGCTGCAAAAAAGGGAAAATCATCACACAATGCGAAAAAAGGAATATAAGAGGATATCAGGAAAAGACTTTGCTTACGATCGGGATTCCATTTCTCTAGGAACGACATTTTTCTCTCGGGGATGACATCTGAGGTCCTCACTCGGACGAACCGGCTCATCCAGCCTCGGTCCTTATCCTCGTCAGTACTAGCAAAGAAGGATTTTCTCGACCGACGTTGAAGCTTGATCAACCCTCGGAAAAGTTGAGGCTGATACAATCGGATAAGGTGATTGAGGGTGAACTCTAGTCCCTCGGCCTTGCTAAAGAATAGCGCAGCATAATCACTATACGACAGAAAGAAGGGTGGATCTGGCCGAGGGTGACTTGATATATTTTGCAGAAGTTGATCACGATTGGATTGAGGAGACCCAATGTGAAGGGGTAAGTGTAAACACTTAGGAATCCCTACACGTGAGTGGTAATGCTCTCCTCGGGGTCGGGGATCTCTACCACGACCTCGTCTCCCCAGCCACAGTCTTTTTTCATGGCGTTGAGGTGCTTCTTCATTATCGAGCTGATATGCTGGATACATGCTCGCGTCGGCCAGGGATTGCGGGGGGATTTTCAACGTTAAAATCTTGCTTTAAAATGCAAGGGGCCAGGAATAATCTCGTGAAGGGCCGGCGCCACAAGTTTGGTCGGCCGGGAAGAGGAGGAAGAAGCTTTCTCTTTTTGAGGAACTATTTTGGAAGTCTTCGCCATTGATTCGAGTTGGAAAAAGTGGAGATAGGTGAAGTTTGGTATTTTCTAACACTAGAAAGAACGGGAGTAACGGGTAATGAGAGAGAAGAGATGAAGAGAGGGAGATATAAAAGACGTTTGGGGGTGGTTTGAAGATTGAAGTAAAGTTTTCTCTAAAATTAAACCTTGTATTTATAGGTGAGCGGCGACGGTTCGATGGCGCTAGTGGCCGACCACCACTGGAGAAGCATTTAATGTTTTGGGGAAGCGAACAGACGAGACATTTCGGTCACTGCGAGCGCCTACGTCACAATCATCAAGGACTCCGGAAAATCGAGACTCAAATCGTTTCTTATCATTTTATTCTGAGAAACGCGGGGACTACCTGTAGACGGTCAAAATCATGTGCCCCCGATTTTGTAGGCTCGAGGTGTCATGTCAGGAACAAGTTCAATATGGATCGAGCTCGAGCCCGAAGGCAGAATACGAAGCTCGAAGATCAAAGGCGATGAATACCAGGGCCGAAAATGATCAACCTCGAGATAAAACCGTTATGGTTTTGTAACAGAAAGAGCAAGATTCCCGCAACACCCCCAAGATCCCGGCGTAAATTTCGGAACAGATTTGTATGGATTAGTACTAGGCGGTTAGACAGTTGTCCCAATAAGATTCCTTGCTAAATTAGAAATGTACCTTATTTAGGGTTCCCCTACTATATAAAGGGGACCTCAATCATTTGTAAGGATCATCAATCATTGGCAATAGAATAAACTCTCTTACTTTCTTGTTCATTACTCATCAAAATTGTCTCTTAACTTTATTGCTTTTACTTTACTGTTCTTGCTGACCAACCTCGAGGCCATCATAGCTCGAGGTCAAGATTTTTTTAAGCACTGGTTTGATTCAACTTACTTCTTTGATTTATACGTTTGATTTCTTGGTTATTAATTAGTATTGAATTATATCACGTATCTTTAAAATCACAAACAAGTTTAATTGTTACTCGTATTTCGAGGTAAACACTTATGTTCATGCGATGGGGTAGCGTGTATATGTGTGGAAGGGCAAAAAAAATTCATTTTAACGACGTATTGGGTATTGAGGCAAATTTCTTTTACAACTTCAAGTAGTAGCAACCAAATATACAATTTTTACACTATAATTACTTACTTTTGACATTATTGAAGGAAAAAAAAAAAAGAGAACATAGAACATAGAACCAAGAAATAGAAAGGAGAAAATAATTGTATTTGTAATTAAAAGATTAACGGATTAAATTAATGAGAAATAATTTGATAATATAAATTTATGATAAAGATAATTTTATCTTGAAAAAAATAATTCTCAAGGCTCAAAAGTACCAAACACCTCAAATTTTTACCAAAAAGTTTTGACTTTTTTTTTGGAAAACAAATGTTTTGGCCTCCAAAAAGTTTTGGCAAGCAGGCTATAAGATGTATAATAACTAAAGGTGTCTAACGGGTGGGTCGGGCCGGGCTGGGTAGGGAAAAGTTGAAACCGTCCGGGTTTCGAACCGGGCCGGTTACGGGTTAGGGGTTACCGGGCTTAATGGGTTCGGGTTCATCCGGGTAAAAAATGAACAGTAAGGGTTACGGGTCCAAGGGGCCGGGCCGGGCCGGGTTAGTGTTTCTTTTATATTTTTTATAACTATTGTAATTTATATTAATATAATGTAAAAATATAAAGAATACAATGAAGATGGAAAAAAAATTGCATTTATAAATTGCAAGTGCTACATTTATTTCAAAATTCAAACTTACAAATTGAAAGGTTTACATTTATCAACAAGTAAATTAACGAAAAAAAGAGTAAATTCAAAGGTTTTGCATTGCCTTAGACTCTAAAACCTTTAAAAAAAATTGAAATCTAGCCTTTAAACCGGTCCGGGTCGGGCCGGGCCGGTTAACCGGTTCTACAGGAATTTTGGTTGACCGGGTTTGACCGGTCCGGTTAACCGGATGAATTAAAGTGAACGGACCAACAGCTCTAACCCCAGTAACTTAGCCCACCCGGCCCCCTAAGTACCGGGCCGGTCTGGGCCGGGTTTCAACCGGTCTGGGCCGGGCCGATCCCGGGTCAACCCGGCCTGTTTGACACCTCTAATAATAACAGAAACCTCCACTTAGAAAACTTAAATTGGTCCATCATCTCTAGATCTCTTCTTTCTTCTTTTCTCTTTCTTTCCAAATAGGTACGTACGTTATGACTGCCTCTTTAGTTGATTTTAGTTATGTTGGAATTCAACTTCATGTTTCAATTACATAGAAGAGAAAAAGACATGTGGTCATTTTAAGAAGTGCAGAGGTGTCGAAGTGTAATATATAGGCACTCTAATCTAATCCGGCTTTTATAATAATACGTAATGGGTTTCAACACATATTTCTTTCAACCTGAAAAAGAGGAACTAGAGACCCGCTTAATCTCTACTACATTTGCTATCATCTCGCATCATCAACAGTCATACGTACGTATCTCTACTACTTTTGAGCAAAGCTTTCGTTCTCTACCATTTTACTCTCTTTCCTTTCCTTCAACGTAACTATCACTATATTGATGTGTTAGAGTCTCTTTACTTCGTTCCTTCTTTTTTTTATGTGTACAATCCGTGTTATTTCCTCAGAAAACAAGTGACGATTCTAAAATTCCATGAAGTGAAAAGTGTAAGTCAAAATACTCTTTGTTTTTTCTTCTATTTGTTTGTGTTGTTGGTATCAATTTGTTGACGTTATCGATTCAGTTTTCTATTGGTTGCATAATATAATCTTGAAGATAATTTTTACTGTATTTATCAAGATTTATGCGTTAAAATCAAATAAAAAGAATCCCATTGTTTCAATCATGTCTAAAACTAATTAATCTCAAGTGTAAAAGAGTAATGGTCTCCACAGGAAAAGAGGTGGGAGGGGGGGGGGGGGGGTGAGTTGGTGCAGGATATATGTGGACTCAAGATTTAAATTTGATGGAAGATACCACAAAATCCATTACACTTTCAAATTTGGTGTAGTGATTTTTCACGTTTATACATATATTTATGCTCCATGTAATTAAAATATATTGGGTTCGATGGAACCATATGAAACTACATTACATCAGCCTCTGGCCCTAGACATATCATTTCTCAATTTATAATACTCAGAATTTCGTGATATCTGCGAGGGTGAGGGCAGTTGATTTCTTATCAGAATAGCATACTAAAAACGGAATTGATTTGCTAATGATTCACCATATTACATTCATTAGTAGAAGGAAGTATTACTTTTAAGGTCAGTAGAACTAATAAATAATCCATTTGTTTTTTCATGTTGAGCAAATGCCTAAATGTTTCTTTCCTATGATTCTGTAACAGAGCGTTAAAATAGCAGAGAAAGAAAGGATGTCCGAACCAGCTCCTTATGTACCCAAAAACATCCTCATAACTGGTGCAGCAGGCTTCATTCCATCCCATGTAACCAACAGATTGACCAAGCTTTATCCTGACTATAGGATTGTTGCTCTTGACAAGCTCGATTATTGTTCGAGCTTGAAAAATCTGGAGCCGAGTTACTCATCTCCTAATTTCAAATTTGTAAAGGCTGATATTACAAGTGCTGATCTTATCAACCATCTTTTGGTTGAGGAGAAGATTGACACAATTATGCATTTTGCAGCACAGACTCATGTGGATAATTCATTTGGAAATTCATTTGAATTCACAATCAATAACATTTATGGTACACATGTACTTCTGGAAGCTTGTAAGTTGACTAAATCCATCAAAAGATTCATTCATGTTAGTACAGATGAAGTTTATGGTGAGACTGATTTGGAGACCGACATTGGCAATCCTGAAGCATCTCAACTCCTTCCTACTAATCCATATTCTGCTACTAAAGCGGGCGCTGAAATGCTTGTCATGGCTTACCATAGGTCTTATGGCCTACCGACAATCACAACCCGAGGGAATAACGTGTATGGACCAAATCAGTTCCCTGAGAAGTTGATCCCAAAGTTCATTATTCTTGCCATGAAAGGCGAGCGTTTGCCAATTCATGGGGATGGATCGAATGTTAGGAGCTATTTGTACTCTGATGATGTTGCTGAGGCATTTGATGTGATACTACATAAAGGGGTGATTGGACATGTGTATAACATTGGCACTAAAAAGGAGAGGCGAGTTTTGGATGTGGCTGAGGACATATGCAAATTATTCAGCTTGAACGCTCAAGATGTGATCGAGTTTGTGCAAGACAGGCCGTTTAATGACCAAAGGTACTTCTTGGATGATCAAAAGCTTAAGAAGTTAGGGTGGCGAGAACAGACCTCTTGGGAGGAAGGACTAAAGATGACTCTGGAATGGTACACCAAAAATCCTGATTGGTGGGGTGATATAACCGGAGCCCTTCACCCGCATCCAAGAATTTCAAACATTATGCCTTCGCATGATGAAGGTTGCCTGTTGCAGCTTATAAAAGGTTGCAAGAAAGGCTGTGGCTCGGAGATGAAGTTCTTGATCTATGGAAGAACTGGTTGGATTGGAGGGTTGTTAGGAAAGATTTGTGAAGAACGTGGAATAGCATACGAGTATGGGACAGGAAGATTGCAGGATAGGAATTCGCTAATACATGACATGATAAGAGTAAGGCCAACCCATGTTTTCAACGCGGCTGGTGTTACTGGGAGGCCTAATGTGGATTGGTGTGAATCGCATAAAGTAGAGACAATTAGAACTAATGTCGTTGGTACACTAACTTTGGCTGATATCTGCAGAGCAGCGGACATCTTGGTGATGAATTTCGCGACAGGTTGCATATTTGAGTATGATGAGAGGCACCCATTAGGCTCAGGCATTGGATTCAAGGAGGAAGACAAGCCAAATTTTACAGGATCTTTCTACTCCAAGACCAAAGCCATGGTAAGTAGTTCATTTCAGTTAAGCATTTCAAACAGTACGCGCGAAAACACAGGCATCTATTTAGTTGCCTTGTCTACAATTAATGGCCTTAATTTTCTTGAGCAACAATGGAACAACACATGAAGCTCATTTAACTTTGGCTTTAATGCAGAGGCAGCAACTAGATTTACATTTTGATTTGATTTCTATAACATAACAGCTGAAGCATTCTGTTAATATCTGTAGGTTGAGGAGCTTGTAAAAGAATATGAAAATGTTTGTACCCTCAGAGTGAGAATGCCAATATCATCTGATCTTAGCAACCCGAGAAACTTCATCACAAAGATCACGCGTTATGATAAGGTGGTAAACATACCAAATAGCATGACAGTGCTAGATGAGCTGCTACCAATCTCTATTGAGATGGCAAAGAGAAACTGCAGAGGGATATGGAACTTCACCAATCCGGGAGTTGTGAGCCACAATGAGATTCTAGAGATGTACAGAGAATACATAGATCCCAACTTCAAGTGGCAGAATTTTAATCTTCAAGAACAAGCAAAAGTGATCGTTGCACCGAGAAGTAACAACGAGCTTGACACGACAAAGCTGAAAAATGAGTTCCCTGAATTGTTATCGATCAAAGATTCGATCAACAAGTATGTCTTTGGACCAAACAGAAAAACATAAAACTTGAAAATTGTACTTTTCAGATAGTCTTGTTTTGATTTTCATCAACCTCTTTGTCATAGTTACTTGTGGTTGTAGTTTTAGATACATAATGTGATTCAGGTACTTCCAATGTTCTTATTTTTCCGAGCACGATTTTGCTCAGTGAAATCTACTTCACTTTCATTTTTGGTAGGCTTCTTGTATTAAATCCTTTGCCAAAGTCATGTTGCCTACAAATATCGAACATGATGTCTTGATTTATTTTGCGAGTCAATCTTGCAAATGACATTATCTATTACTAGCTAATACTATAATATAGTTTCTCTTTCTCCTTTCTTTTCTGCAATATGATTTTCTTCCTTTCTGTCAATCCAATAAAATCTCCCGGAAATCTTTGCATTTAAACAATGCCTCTTCGGATTTGGATATGTGCATGCCCTGTAGCCTTTTGATTTTGCCAGTAAATTTATACTTAATGATTTTCCTGCAAATTTTAGCCTCACTGTAAGGAATCATTTTGATTCTTGATCTATTAAACAAATGTTTTTTTGCCGGCATAAACTAAATGTGTTGAAATTTGTGAGTTATTAGAAGATGATAATGAAAAGTTAAGAAACAATGCTAATAACTTGATTCAAGTTTTGCAAGGCACAAGTTTAAGTCTTTCATTGAGCTTGATTGATTAAGGAAATATGTGAATTTGGAAAGAGTTGATTTTGATGGATCATGGGAGCTTTGGAGCGAGGTGAAGGTAAGTTCGGCTTTTGTTTCCAAAATTATTTTTAATTTTGTTGAATAGTGTTTCTTTATACAAAAAGATTAGATTTTTAGGCCTAAAAATGTGCATCTCTCTCTTCCTCTCATTTTTTTTTTTTTCTGATTTTATAATTAAAAAAAAAATGGAAAAAAAAAAGATCAATAGCTCTCTCATCGTCTTTTCAGCTGAATTCTACAAAACTCAACCACACCTTCTCCACCAAGAACTCAAACAAGAAACTAATAGCATACAATTATAATACTATCTCTATAACTGCATTGTCGCATAAAACTTATTTAGTGCTCATCTCTAGGGTTCACTAGCAGTTCATATAACATACTATTATCATTACTTTCATATTGAGGCACATGCATAAAAATTTGGAAAAATTACGGTTGCACCCTATAGTTGTCCCAAAAAGTCATTTACACACTCAAACCTTAAATTATCCATCCATCTACCTCGAAAAATGTAAGTAACAGTTAAAGGTGATTTGTGGTTTTAAAGATACGTGATATATTCTAATACTAGTGATTATATGAGCAATATTGAGCTTAAGTAAGAAGAAATAAAGAACCAAATTGATGTTGCTGGAACTGTAGGGGGTCTCGAGCTCGACTATCCAGCGGCCTCGAGGTTAGCTAAGAGTAATAAAGTATGAACAATGAAGTATAGGCAATAAAGCTGTAAAGTAATTGCTAAGCACGTTAAACAAGAGAAGAATAAGAATGTTCTATTGCAGTGAATGATCTGATGCCTTTACAATATGATTGGGGTCCCCTTTATATAGGAGGAGAAAACCCTAACATAGTACCTTGCTCATAAAGGTAAAGAATTCTATTGGTACAGGTTTATAATGGCCTAGTACGGATCTGTACCATTTCGTACAGCCCTTATCCTACAATTAATGCCCAGGTCCACGTGTCCTTGACAAGTTCCCGCTCTTTCTTGATTGACTTCGAGACAGTGGCGTCCTCGATGCAACCCGTGCCAGGCATTCGATCAGCTCCCTCGAGGTAGGTGCCCCTTAGTCGGATACGACACCCACTTCGAGTCTCCCGGACTCGAGCCTATAGCCCGATTTAAGCCTTCAAAATCATACTCCTCGATTTTGACCGCATACAGATAGTCCCCGCGTTTCTTAGAATGGAATGATATGAAACAATTTGAACCTCGATTTTCCCGAGCCTCTTGCGATGACGTCATGCTCGTGATGTAGGCATTTGAAATGATCGAAACGTCCCGTCGGTTCATTCCCCCAGAAGCATTGAATGCACCGTCGGTCCGTTTCCCTAAAAACGTTGAATGCGCCATCAGTTTCGTCGTCATTTTTCTATAAATAAGGGATTACTTACACAAAAACTACATTCATTCTTTCTTCAACAACTTTTAGCCCTTTCCCTTCTCCATTTCCTCTTCAAATCACCTATTTTTATGGTTCAAACCTGTGACCACAAGGTCGTACGGCAGCAACTTTGTCAGTTATGCCATGGCTCTTTTTCAAAGCTTTTCCCCACTAAGCGGGATTATACTGAGTTGTTGTTGTTGTTGTTAGCTCGAAACAATGAGAGAAGGGCACTCAGTTCTTCCCGTGTCAGAAGATATGTGGACTTTACACGCTGCTCATCTCTCTTAACTTCAACCTGGTGTGGCGCTTCATTCCTTTTGCTTTCCATGGAGTGAGGTGGCACTATCATCTACTAACTTTTGCATCCCACACCGGTACAATGTCTCAAGAAGTGGCTTTACAATAATAGTACTGACAAGACCCATACTCGCCCAGTTTTTCACCAGGCCACAATTTTCTTCGCTTGTTAAAAGCTTTTGCTCTTTGATAGGCTATAGCCTTTTCTTCATCTATTGCTGTTTCGGAGGAGGTTCCCGAAGGAACCGCTCTAAATATCGAAATGGAGTCCTCGAGGAAAAGGTTCTCAAAGATGTCGCTCTTGAGGATATACCCCCGAAAGTAGATTAGGCCTTTGGCTGTTGTTTTTGCTTCTTTGTTTTTATGTAAGGGCCTCTCGCGGGCTTTGTAAACAGCTTTTGTTAATATAAGAATTTCTCCATTCTGTCTTCGATTCGTGTTGAATTCCATTCTGCCTTCGTTTGTGAAAAATTTGAGTGTATAATTATAACGATTAGTCTGAATACTGGGGCCGAAACATAATAAACCCTTAGGTTTTTAATTGACCAATATAATAATTCTTAAAGTTCTTCGTTAACCCTCGGACTAAGCTTGGATTGATTTGATGTGAACTTAGGTCACCAGGACTTCTGATTCCGAGTTGAGTGAGAGCAGGGTCTCGATTTTTGGCATAAAGCTAGCCCTTTTAGGCTTTGTTGATAGTCCTCGAGTGAGAATTTTTTCGAACTCGGGTAACCTTTGGACTTAGCAATCGGGTGAGCATTTGCTCGATCTTCGAAATAGAGATAGCCCTTAGGCTTTACAGATAGTCCCCGGGTGAGAATTTGCTCGAACTCGGGTAGCCCTTTGGGCTTAATAATTGAGTGAAAATTTGCTTGATCTTGAAATAAAGATAGCCCTAAGGCTTTATAGATAGTCCCCGAGTGAGAATTTGCTCGAACTCGGGTAGCCCTCAGGCTTAATAGTCGAATGAGCATTTGCTCGAATTCGAAATAAAGATAGCCCTGAGGCTTTATAAATAGTCCCCGAGTGAAAACTTGCTCGAACTCGGGTAGCCCTTGGGCTTAGTAGTCGAGTGAGTGTCTACTCGAACTCAATTTGTAGATCGTTCTTAATGATTTCTGACAAACTGATTCCCGATGCCTAGGTCCTGATGTCAACATCATGACATAAGCAGTTGAAGTGACTGAAGGGTTGCTTTTTGTACGATTCCCAAAATCATTAATTGTAGGCGGCTGACGGTCGGCCTTTTGGCTTCCTCGGCACGTTTAAACGATCTTTATAAATAGACAAACATCATAACTTTACAAATTTTATTCCCTTAGTGCTTCCAAATTCTCATTTAGCCTTTTCCAATCTCCTTGATATCTCCTTTCTCTTTTCTAAGAATATTTTCCATCTTTTCGGATCTTTCGCTTAGAGATGGCTAAAACTTCTAAATCTGTTCCTCAAAAGGAAAAAGCTCCTTCATCTTCTCGATCGACCAAGAGCAAAACGGTAGTGCCACCTCGTATCGAGGAATGCATCCCCCCGCCATGTGAGATAACATCCGATTTCAAAATCGAAAAACCTATTTCCACGTCGGGCCGATGCGAGCCTATGTCTCAATATATTTGTTTGATAACCAAGACCGAGCTTGATCAGGTGAAAGAGGATTGCGAATGGGACAATAATAAAAAGATAGTGATTCCTTCCTCTGAGGAAGATATAACCACGTATAAAGCGGTGTACTTGAGTGTATATACTTACCCGTTTATATTGGGCCCTGCAATTCCGACCCAGGGCCCCATAGACCCGGTTATCCTCGACTTTTGCCAACGGTTCCGAGTGACGCTCGGCCAGATCTACCCTTCCTTCTGGCGAATTGTTTACTTACTCAGGTTCTTTTCGAACCAAATCGAAGGGATGTCCTTTACCCTCGATCATTTGCTCAAATTGTATAGTCCTCGACTTTATCGGGGAGGGGGGGGGGGCTTGATAAAGTCGCCGATCCTTAAAATCTTTGTTTGCTAGTATCGATGAGGACAAGGACCGTGGATGGATGAGCCGGTTTGTTCGAGTCCAAACCTCCGATCTTATTCCTGCCGATTGGATGTCGTTCCCCGAGGAGTGGAACATGAATCGTGAGTATACCCTACTTCCTTTTCTTTTCCCAACTTTGTATTTCCCTTTGACTTAAATTCTTTGCGATGGTGTAGTTGTTGCTTGGTTTTACGGTGGGGTCCCGAACCTCGAGGGCTGGGTCCCAGAGCTAGCCTCCGCCTCCCCTTACTCGGAGTGTTGCTGGCAAAATTTGGCCAAGGGTCGATGGGAGGCGAAAAACCATGGTGAGTTCTTCGTTTGTTTTTCAGTGTTTCGGTTATGGGACACTGATCTTGATTTTACGCAGGTCTTGGGGACGCCGTTGCATTGAGGCCGGCCCCAGCTGGTGAAGTGGAGGCTCCGAAACCGCCCAAAGAAAGAAAAAGAAGAAAAGAAAAATCTGACAATCCCCCGAAGCCAAAGAAGAGCGTGGCTCGAAAGCCTAAGGCCGATACGGCGGCCTTATCCCCGGAAATGGCCCAACATCTTCGGGAACAGGAGGAAGAAGAAGATGATGATTGCTTGTTGGTAAACAGTAAAAAAAAAGAATGTTGATACTTCGAACCTACCGAACCATCGGTGGCTGGTGAGGCCCACTCCAGGGCTGAAGAGATCTCCGAAGGAAGTTCAAACAGGGTCCCCGGACCATCATCCAGAAAGAAGGAGCCTCGTTTAGGAGATCATTATGAAGGCGAGGCAGAACATCCT